GCATTGTGAACATGCTAAGGACATTGCAGTTGAATGCAATAACAGATGGGGTTGAACCGTTGGGTTTGGAAGCTGCGGATAGAGCTGACTTGTTGACTAGAATTCGGATTGCTCAGGAGCAGGATGAGAATCTGAAAAAGGTGTCACAGAATGATAAGACAGAATATCAGACTTCAAACAATGGGACCATTGTTGTGAACGGACGGGTCTGTGTTCCAGATGTGAAGGAGCTAAGGGATGAAATCCTTAAGGAGGCACATCAGTCAAGGTTTTCTGTTCATCCGGGAATGACCAAGATGTATCAGGATTTGAAACGGTGCTATCATTGGGTTGGGATGAAACGTGATGTGGCTAAGTGGGTAGCCGGATGTGAGACGTGTCAATTGGTTAAGGCAGAGCATCAGTTTCCAAGTGGTTTGTTGCAAACGTTGCCAATGCCAGAATGGAAATGGGACATGATCACCATGGACTTTGTACTGGGATTACCTAAGACTAGGAAGTTGCATGACGGTATATGGGTCAATGTGGATCGTTTGACAAAGTCTGCTCACTTCTTAGCAATGAAAAAGACTGATGGAGTACCAAAGTTGGTGGACATGTATATTGATCAGATCGTGAAGTTGCATGGAGTGCCAGTAAGTATCATTTCAGATCGTGATCCGAAGTTTACTTCAAGGTTCTGGAAAGAGTTCCAGGAAGCGTGTGGAACGCGGTTGCATATGAGTACAGCGTATCATCCTCAGACTGATGGGCAATCAGAACGGACGATCAGGACATTGGAGGATATGTTGAGAGCGTGTGTACTGGACTGGGGTGGTAGTTGGGAAGACTACTTACCGTTGGCTGAATTTGCATACAACAATAGTTACCAAAGGAGCATAGAGATGTCTCTGTATGAGGCGTTGTATGGCAGGCCGTGCAGGACACCATTGTGTTGGACACAAGTGGGGGAGCGTAGCGTAATGGGGCCAGCAGTGGTCGAGGCTACTACAGAAAAGATCAGATTGTTAAAGGTTAAGCTGAAAGAGGCTATGGACAGGCAGAAAAGTTATGCGGACAAGCATCGCAGGGATCTGGAGTTCAGTGTGGGTGATATGGTTTATCTTAAAGCACTGACTTATAAGGGAACGGATAGGGCAGCTAAGAGTGCCAAGTTGAATCCGAGGTACATGGGGCCGTACCGGATACTGGAAAGAGTGGGCACAGTGGCTTACAAGTTGGACTTGCCATCGGGAATGGGAGCGTTCCACAATGTATTCCATGTGTCGCAGCTGAGGAAGCACATTACCGAATGGGAAACGGTTATAGAGGAGCCGCCAGCAGACTTGCAAGAGGACCTTGCAGTAGTGGCTAGACCGGTTCGAGTAATAGGACGGAAAGAAAAGACTAAGCGTGGGAAGCTGGTCAGAATGGTTCAGGTCGTATGGGACTGCGACGGGCATGAACAGGTTACTTGGGAAAAATGAGGCTAAGATGAAAGCTGAGTATCCCAAATGGTTTGACAAGTTGCAAACGGATGAGTCGGATTCGAGGACGAATCCAGAACGGGTGGGGGAGAGTTGTAGCATCGGTATCCGAAAAAATATGGAATGATCGTACCGGACAGGGCATTGTCCGAGGGATGACCGAGCCAAGGGTCGGATACTGGCTGGGAAATGGAGGTTCGGACTATGGTCGGGTGTTGACCGGTGAAATAGTCGGATGTGGGCTGGATAGCCGAGCCGGATGGACCATATCCGAGGGAAAACAGGGTCCAGTCCGAGGGAAATGGGATTTATCCGAGTGCAGTGGGATATATCCGAGAGTCTGGGAGGTTAGTCCGAGTGTCAGTGGACTGTCTCCGAGGGGGAATAAGAAACCTCCGAGAGAAATAGAGGATTAGCCGAGGTGGGACAAGTTGTCCGGGAGAAATAGGAATATCCGGATGAAAAATGGAAAACACCTCGGATAAGGGCGGTTTATCCAAGTGGGAAGGGATTTGGGCCGTGGGCCAAGTGTTTGGTCGGCTATTTTGGGATTTATCGAGTGGATGGTCGAGCCGGTACAGGGAATAGCCGAGGAAAATCGAATCGGACCGGGATAATCCTACTGGAACTAGGAAAACGTCGGATAAGTCCGGGTTACCTAGGGTTTTGCGAGTATATAAGGGAATTTGAGACTTAACTCGAGGGTGTTGCGTTTATTTGAGCTAAATAAAGCAAAGAGAGAGTTTAGTCAAGAGAAAACCTTAAGAAAAACAGTTTATCCCGAGGACATCCGAGAGAGATCAGGCTATCGCCGAGCAGAACCGATCATCGCCGAGATAAACTGGTAAGCGATCGGATATTTCCCTAAGTGTTGAGTTTTCATCGGATAACCTCGAGCTAATAGCCTTGTTTTGTGGGATTTCTGAGGGAAAACAGAGTTTGGCTAGAAGAAAGGTGAACGGATCAAGAGATAGCCGAGGGGATATGGATCGGATCGTACCGTGAGCCGAGAGATTCTTAGAGAGATCGGATATCTTTGTTTTGGTGCAGTTTTCATGGGGATTTCTTCTGACCAATCTGTTTCTAGCCTTGTCTAAGGTGAGTGCGTGACTGTGGTTGGGTCTAGGACCGTAAGATTGCTAGGGTTGAGTGTTTTGCATGTTGATTGTGTGATTTTCATGTTATGTGTTTGGAATTGATAAGCAATCCTTATGTTGTGATATATTGTGGTGTTTACCGTGGCATATATGATGTTTAGCTAACCTCAGGGTAATCCGGATCATGTACTAGCTTAGGGGATGTGGGATTCTCGCTGAAGTAGACATAGGTCTTAAAAAGGGATTGATCTTGGTTGGTTAGGCTAGATGATCATGGCCGTTTGATATGGTTATGTCTATTGCGAATTGATTGTGTTGAATGTTGAATCCGAAAGTATGACTGCGTGTTTTGGTACTGACCAGGTGTTACGGGATGACCGTACTCACTAAGTATTTATGAAATACTTATGCCTTTCATTTTGAGTGTGCAGGTACTAAGCAGTAAGGAGCGAGACCAGGCGGCAGTGATGAATATGGATGGATCGGGACTTGGTTTTATTTGTGTTAAGACTTGTGTTTAGAGTCTTATGGCTTTGGTGTTGATCGTTAGGTTGCTAGATGATCAGTTGTAATCTTTAGCGAACCTTGTGCTTTTATTTATGTGGAACCCCGAATCCTGTTTAAGTGTTTTTGAAAGTTGAATAAATGAAATGAGTTGCTTTATATTCCGCTGTGTAATGATAAGAAAGACTTAGAAAAATAAAAGGAAAAAGTTCGAAAATATAGCTAAGTATAGAAACGGACTTAGAGGATGTAGTGGGACACAGCCGCGGTACGGTTTACCGGGTTGGGTTACCACAGTTTGAATCTCAGGTTTTTGTTTTAAAAAAAAAAACTGATACATCAAGCGCTACGCGGAAAACATAAACACAATAGATTAAAGTGTACATTAACATTGAAGCAATTTATGTTGGATACACTAGAAAGGCTAAAAAGGTGAGATGAAGCCACTCGATATATATTTCCTGAACATGCTGAGCAACTAACGCATAAGAAGCAACAAAAAACTTGGCTACAGAGATGATCTACATATTAAACCAAGTAATTCAGTCCGGTTATCTACATATTAAACCAGTATATAATCGTGACTTTGTAACAAACATTTCACAAGTTGAATAAAAAGAATCTTTCTCACTTTCTCTCTCATGTTCGTCTATCTCTCTTTCGTTGATTCAACTAATATCGCATTGTCTTGATGAGTCTGAAAACTGTGAGGAAATAGGTGTGGAGAGGTGTGGAGTTGTAAGAACCTCTAGTGTACTAAGATCCAAGATTGGTATTGGTGAATTCATCTCCTATCTCTCTGAAATGTAACCATAATTTGTCACATAACAATATAACTATAGATTGTATTGAATGAGAAAAGAGATTTAGAGAAATAGAATCATAGAAGGATGATAATGAGAATAGATAATAAGCTAGTTTGAGAACTGTTTACTATACTGATTGTAAGTTCAAAAGGTTGTGTTAGAGTATGATTTGAGCATCTAGAAAAAGAGACAACACTTTCATATTAAATATAGCATGAGAGGAAAATGTAAATGGCAGCTTTACTGCTTGTATGAGTCGATCGCCAAAAGTGTTTATTGAAGATTAAGTACAAGTATCACAATTTCCCTCCATATAGAAATTGCAAACTTTTAGATAAGTCAAATAATTTGTAAAGAACTCTAAATTAACGAGTACAAGGAACTAATGCGAGAGAAGATAACTTTGAAGTTTGAAATGATTCGAGAAAGAATGTGCAGAACAGATTATTCATCACCGTGAATATGTTAAAGAGATGCTCACTTCATATTGGGAATCAAATGCTATAGTTGAAACTCCCTAACGCACCTGGTCAAAATGTGTTTTTTCCCCCTATATATACCATATGGTTTTTTTTATATACCATATGGTTGATGTAAAATATGTTTAATCTCCAAGTAGTGGGCTGCGCTTAGTCAACATTGGCGTCATTCTCTCTTCCATTATATAGGATTTAATAGAATTTATTGTACATATATGATTGGTCGTTCATAAATTCTAATAATAAATCACACACATACACACATGTTCATTTCCCACTATTATGACAAAACAAGTTGTAACAAAAAAAAAACCTTTGGACCTCATCAATGGCTTGTTAGATTGAAAATCAGGTACTTTTCTACATGTCTTAGTTTCAGATTATCCTCTCCATTACCATCTTCCACCCTTTCCCTTCTCAATCATCTATCTTCAAGAAGGTAAACAAAAATCAAAATCTATTTGGTTCTCTCTTGTTTCAATCTTGTTTTTTTTTCTGGATTCTCTTTTCCTTGATCCTTCACCATCTACCTTTCTTTGGGATTGCTTGCTCAGTTTGGATTTCTTAATGATTGCTTGAATATTCCGGCCAATACTTATTTGGAATCATTTAATTGTTTTGTAGGTATCCCATTAAGTTCATCTAACCATGGCTGATACCAAACAAGGTGCCATACCCATAAATGTATATATTTTTTTCTCCTTACTTATGTTAATGATGAAATCATGTGTGGTATAGATATGGAAAATTCGGAGGATGATAGGAAGATAATGAAGATTAGCTCGTTTAAAAAGAAAGCGATAAGCGCATCAAACAGATTCAAGAACTCGTTCAAGAGGAAGACTCGGAGGACCAGCAGCAGAATCGTGTCCGAACCCATCGAAGACAACATCAACGATGAGGATCTTCAGTCTATTGATGCATTTCGTCAACTTCTTCTCCACGAGGATCTTTTGCCCTCCAAACACGATGATCCTCACACGATGCTCAGGTTCTTATTTCTTTCTATAATATTAATATGTCAAGTAATGTGTTGTGTTATGAAAAGGAATATAATGTTATAGTACATGAAGTCAACTTATGAAAATAAAATTAATACTTATGTGTAAGTTAGAAAATATGATTGAGTTTTTCAATAACGAATCTATGATTGTTTGCCAAATCCAAGATCGGCAGCGAACCCAATTAGCCAAAATATCTCAAGATAAAAAGAAATGTAAATAAAGGTTTAACTATAGTACCTGACATGTGAAACTAACTCTAATCTGGGGAACATTAGGTTTCGTCGTGGAACTATATTGATCATGTGTAGTCAGGATATGAAAATATTGTCGATGTTGGTTGATATCAATTATTATTATGACAAAAAAACAAAATGACGTCCAAATATTGCTAGAGAAACAAAAATAATTTTATATACCGTTATGTACTTCCATATTCTTTTTAAACTTATAATTATTTTTAATTGCCAATTAAATTCCTACCTACCACTATATATTTAGATGACTATTGCGATGGTTATATTACACCTATTGCGGTTGATATTACAACATTAGAATCTTCCATGTTTGTTTGATCTACACAGATTCTTAAGGGCGAGAAAACTCGACAATGAGAAAGCGAAGCAGATGTGGAGCGACATGCTCCAATGGAGAAAAGATTTTGGAGTCGACACGATCATCGAGGTTCGCTTTTTGTAAATGAATCTTGGAACATCTCATGCTGAGTAAAAACAGACTGTGACATGTTCATTTTTTTTTTTTTTTCTTTTGTGATGGTGAAGGATTTCGAGTTTGAAGAGATTGATGAAGTATTAAAACATTACCCTCAAGGCTATCATGGAGTGGATAAGGAAGGCAGACCGGTTTACATTGAGAGATTAGGCCAAATCGATGCAAACAAGCTGTTACAAGTGACTACAGTGGACCGGTACGAGAGATACCATGTGAAAGAGTTCGAGAAGATGTTCAAGATCAAATTCCCTTCTTGCTCAGCGGCAGCCAAGAAGCACATTGATCAAAGCACAACCATTTTTGATGTCCAAGGCGTGGTACGTTACCTTTTCATATCTCAATTATTTCTTCTTTCGAAAATGTAAATATGTGAAGAAAAAAGAGTTCAAATGTTGAAACTACTTGGCATTTTTTGAATATTAGGGGCTTAAGAACTTCAACAAATGCGCGAGGGAAGTTTTACAACGCCTTCTCAAGATCGATAACGACAATTACCCTGAGGTACTTAATCTCAAATAGCTTATCATTTTAAAATGGTAACAAAGTTACAAATATATTGTCTCTGTTTGTAGACTCTGAACAGAATGTTCATAATCAATGCGGGTCCTGGATTCCGGCTCTTGTGGGGACCAGTTAAGTCTTTTCTTGATCCAAAGACAACATCAAAGATTCATGTTCTTGGGAGCAAATACCAGGCCAAATTGCTTGAAGCCATCGACGCAAGGTAAGATTACTAATCTTTAACTCATTTATCATTTACTATAGTAATTGATAATTATCTACAAAATTTCGTTTGTCATGTTAGCGAGTTGCCATATTTCTTTGGCGGCCGTTGCACTTGTGAAGACAGAGGTGGCTGCATGCGATCAGATAAAGGTCCATGGAATGATCCTGAGCTTCTTAAGGTCAGACAACTTTGGAGCTGAAAATTTATTTTTAACTAACTTGTTTTGAGTCTATTACCATATATAAGTGTGTTCTTGGCAGATGGCTAAAAACCCTGAAGCTAAGTTCTCAACTATTACAGAGGACGAAGACAAGCTTGTAGAAGAAGGAACGACAATGTCCATGGTCTTTGAAGTAAGCTAAACACCTTTTCAACAGTTCAAAAAGTCTTCGCGTGATTATTTTTTTCAAACATAGAATTCTCATGAGGCATGTACCTAAAGAATCTTTTATGCATCAACTTCATAGCCTCTAGAGAGAAACAAGAAGAAAACCATGGAAGACGACAATGTGTGTAAGAACATTGCAGCGGTTGACAAGTTCATGGCTCTGTCTTTGCCTGCAAAACCTATAAAAATCCAAAAAAAAGGTAAATATGTTTTGACATATAGCTCAAGTCCGAAGATATGTCTTGTGAACAATTCTTATTTGTTTACTTATTTCACGACACTGTCACGTAGAAAAGGGGCCACAAAGGAAAGATGATAGTTTTCTTGTGGGAGGGGTTATCGCGTTTGTGATGGGAATTGTAGCAATGCTCCGGCTATCTAAAGACGTTCCCCGAAAGCTCACGGAGGCTGAAATATTCGGGAATTCAGTTTACGACGGGGAATCAAAAATGTCTAAAGCAAACCAAGATCCAGCTCCAGCACCAGTCTCAAGTTCCGAGTATGTATCAATGGTGAAGCGAATGGCCGAACTTGAAGAAAAGTACAAGTCCCTTGAACCGAAACCAGCGGATGACGACGCGTTAGAGAAAGAAAATAGACTTCAAGCTGCGCTAAGTCGGGTTCAAGTGCTTGAGCATGAGTTATCCGAGACTAAAAAGGTAAGATCTAGCCTCAATCAAATTAGAGTTAAATTATTTTAAAAAAAATAAACGAAATTTTTAACTAGGTAATAACAAATTCTAAAGTTGTACAAAAAGAAAATAGTCAAAGGACTCAGGTAAAAATAAAATAAGGTGAAATTGGGTGAAAATATAATATGTACAAATATATTAATTTGGTATTTTCATAATTGAATATAAAAATATATATATAATACGGTAAATAATAGTATGGTACTAGAAAATACAAATTCATTTGATAAATTAAATATCCGCAAAGAAAAATATAATGGTACTAGAAAAATTTACTCGTTGTAATTATAAAATACTTCGATGACATGGGTAAATCGTATAAAATTTTCATTTGGTCAAGTTTATGTATACGTAGAAAATTAATATGTTATGAAAACAATAATTTTTCTAATAACAGTTAAATGAAAAAGGGTAAAACAAGATATTTACTCCTGTTCGATGGGCAATATCATTTTCTTATATATTACTTTGTCCAATTGTACGTAATATAGTGCAAATACTCATCAAATTAACCGATATAGTTAATGACTGCTTTGGCACTTTTTCGCTGGCTTAGGCTTTGGATGAAACGATAGTTAACCAGAAGGGGATTCTTGCATACATTGAGAAGAAAAAGAAGAAGAAATCGGTGAGAGGAATTATTAAGCTTATGATATATAATTTTATATGTTCAACTATTTCCATTCCAACATTCTTTGTATTGTTAAAACTTCTTTCCAGCATTCTTTGTCCATGTTCTTAAACATTTTATTATTTTCAGTTTTTCAGGTTCTAGATCAGCGAACAACAGTGTCCTCTCCCAAAACATGATCAGATGAAAAGCACGAGAGTGTTTCTGTTTTTCTATCGAAAATGAAAAATATATACATGCATCTTAGTGAAACTAACTCTCCGTTTCCCTACGGTAATTTGTATAACTTTGCTGTGGACCTTGCCACTAGCTAGAGTGATGATTTTGTGTGTGTTTGCTTCCAATCTTTTTCCTACCTAACGTGAATTAACGCAATCGGAAATATCAAGGATAATTAATGTAAGTTTGAGTTGGCCTAGTATCGTTATACAAACAGTTTGTGACAAAATAGTTTACTGTAAAATAATTGTTCATGAAATTATATAGTTTTGAGTTAGGAAAAAGTCTAAATTTGATTATTAACTACACAGCAGAAACAACTAAAGCAGTTATCAAAACAAAAACCATAAAATAGCCATGGTCAATGAAAATCTTTTACCAACATATTCATATTTAGCCAAAATGTGCTTCTTTTGGTGCTATATCAAATTTTTCATTAATCTTAATCTTTAGACACTACAAGAAAACAGCCGATATCCGACAGTCACATCCGTCAGAAAACTGCCAGAAAAGGTTTTATTCGACAGAATTGACCATCGGATAGAGATCATCGAAAAACCGTGAGCCGTCGAAAAGCTGTTGGAAATTTCTAACATTTTTCGATGGTATTTCCGACGGCAAGTTTTCTGATTATATATAAAATAATAAAAATTAAAATTAAAATTAAATTAAAATTGTCAATAAACACTAAAATTCAAATACAATAGAAAATTTTTTAACCGGAAACTTTTTTACGATTCAGTCTCGCATTCGGACCAGTCTAGTCTTCAAGTCCACAACCTCATGTTCTAATTCGAGTTTCCGCTGTGGAGGTGGATTTTCCCGTGAACATCAAGATTTGTACATTTTGGGAAGACAATCCGAATATAGGACCCTTACTTTTTGGAATACACTATAATATAAATACATAATTATTAGAAACAACAAAAATAGTAATAAAATAAATAAATTTAAATTAGGTGATTACTTCATAAACAATTCATGAAAGTAGTAAAAATAAACTAAAGAAAGCATCATAGATAATTGACAACAAATCCAAGAAAAAGCTTGGATACGTCCATATAGATTTCACGGTAAAATCGGAAAGCATAGACAAGATGTGGCACTAGCTTCAGAGGAGAGGGGCTCGTTCAGGCGAGAGGAAGCGACAAAGCGAAGCTTATGGCAGAGAGCCATTGGAGGTTGCGCTTCAAATGAAGCCTCAGGCTTCATGCCTATCAGATGTAGTTATTTACATAGTATAGCTAAGAAGAAGAAGAATATATAAACATCAAATGAGATTGAAGGAGGTGATAGAGAGAATGATGGAAATCATGGAATATAATCATATATATTTACATAAGTGTAGTTTTTTTTAATATTTATCTTTAAATAGTTTGTCTTAAATTGATTTATTTTGTTCTTAATTCCTTACAAACTCTTGTTGAACACATGTAACTAAACCCTAAGTTTTCTTCTCTCTAATTTTGGATATAGATCCAAACTTTTTTTTTTGATGTTTTAGATTGCTGTTCATTTTTTCATGCTACTGTAAGGAAGGATTTTTCACCTACCTTTTATGAATATGTTTATGTCAGTTTTTTGCTTTTCTTTATGTTTTTAGTTGTTAATTTTTAGTTGGATCATGGGCTACAGTAGATTTAGATGATTAGATGATGATGATTTTTGTTGCATCTTGTTAGATCTTCATGTTTAGTTTGTTCGTAATGCTAGTTTTAACTTTATTAATCAAAATCTAGAACTTAGACATTTGATGTTGATAATGTGTTTTGTGAAAATGTTTGAATCAAACATTTTGGAGCTTACACACTTATCCAATATAAATTGATGCAACATATCTTCCATGCATCTCATTTCAATAATCTTCAAGTTATCTTTTGATATTTGTGGAAGATCTTAACAGTTTCACTTACCACATCAACATTTTCCACGTAGTCAACCTTCACATTGTGACGCTCCAACCAGGTTGCCGAAACATCTAGTGATTTTTGAAAAGTTGATTCCACTGAGACATTGGCTTTGCGTCCTAATTTTAACGAACATGTATAATTATAAAAAAAGAAAAGGGTGAAAAATAAATTAGTCAATGAAAAAAATCATCTCTGTCCACTGAACATAATTAACATTTATACTATTATATTACACTCATCAAAACATATTAACGTACACACTAGCAATCATATAGCAAGGTTTTCTTATCGAGCTATAACACATATCATCCATATTGTCATAATGCAAGAAACCTATAATCGGAAGATTCTCCATATCTAAATAATGGTGCAATACCCTCGTGAAGTCGTGATAGCCATAGAACATATAACATTAGGTTTATACATTTCATAGATACTGGTATCCTCGTCATAGTTTTAGAACCTCATGCTTTGGAGGCTGGCCTTGGCTCAAACACTCCCATCCCGAGCTCGTCATATTATAAACACTATAACATTAACTCATAACGTTACTATCAATCATCTTACATGATATCATCAAACATCACACATCCTACATGCTATCATCACATATCATCCAATACATATCATATCATATCATCATTGAACTTAAATCTAGCAATCAGGTCTAATCTTATGTCGTGAATCATATAACATAACAGAAGAAATATAAACTATATTTCCACATATCACCCCCTCACATTTGCCACTTGATGTCAAAAAGAGAACTCCATTTCATCCTTTCTTCTTCTTAAGACAGAAAGGCTACATGAACTTCAACTACACGTATCCCCATGCTCCTGATATTCAAATTGGTTCTACTTCAACCAAAAGCTAGCTCAAAAAGTGTATGATACTCATGCCAAGTTTCATCTCAAACCAAGATCGATTGCCCAACCAAATATTGCAACTTGTCAAACACTCTATTTTATACACTGTGTCAGACTGTCTCAAAAAGACTTGAATAAATAATGGCTGACCCTAAACTTCTCAATCATGCCGTTGATAGCTTGTAAAACACCAAATCTCAGCCTGATCAGACGTTATTTAACCTTCCAAACAATCCCTTTAAAAAGGTGCAGCGAAACAATTTTTTTTTTGAAAAACTAACTCTTATGATTTTGGCCTAATTTTCAAAAAGAGCCGTAACTTCCCACACAAATCTCTGATCTAAGCAAACTTGGATTTGCAGAAAGATGAGGCCCAAGATTTTCAAAGATAGTTATATGAACAGGTCATTCTTTACATTTCGCCGGAAAAGACTCACAAAATACATATCGAACCACACCTTGTTTTTATTGTACTTTTTCCTCTTTTTTTTGTTCTCTTCTCTCTTTTTCTCAGTCGCGCTTTTCTATTTTGACTTCTAGATAATTGCAACAAAATATAATAGAAATTTTCTCGACAAGCTCTTCCTCCGGTTGTTTTCACAGTGGTCCTTGCTTTGCCGAGCTTGCTGTCCCCTCGTCTTCCCATGGCTCTGCTGAAGTAGTCTGGCCGCCGTGAAACCCATCCCCCCCCCCCCCCCCCCCCAGATCCTATGGAGGCGAACTTCCCTCTCTCTCTAGTGCTATTAGACTAATCATATGTTATTAGTCATAGAGTTTACTGTACAGTTACATTTGTTTGTTAATGAGAGTATTATTCATTTTCATCAATTTGTTTCTCTCTCTTTCACTCTAGTTCATTGTAACAGAATCAAGTCGTGATATGGTATCAGAGCAAAGCATTTTCCTCATCTCTCTTCTTCGTTTTTGGCTTGATTCTTGTTGGATTTCACTATGAGCGTATCACAATCTGTGTTGATTCGTGATTTCCTCATCTCTCTTCTTTGTTTTTTGATTGAATTGATTGGATCGTTTCTCGTTTTTGTCGTCTCTCTTTGTTTTTGATTCATTCTTCGATCTGCGTCAATGGCGTTCAATTCCGATCAAAATCGTCACAATCCTGAGCTGAATCAATCCGTTCTATTCTCCACAGTAGTGATCATGCCGGACTAGTTCTGGTTTCCGATCGTCTCACCTCCGGCGCTGATTTCCATTCTTGGCAGCGATCCGTGCGTGTTGCTCTTAATATGCGCAATAAGCTGGGCTTCATCAATGGTACAATTACTAAACCTCCGGATGATCATTATACTGCTGGATCTTGGTCACATTATAACGATATGGTTGCGACGTGGTTGCTGAATTCTGTTTCGAAGCCGATTAGTGGTAGTCTTCTCTATATGTCGACTGCTGAGCAGATTTGGAATAGCTTGATGAATCGTTTTAAGCAAGATGATCTTGCACGAATCTTTGAAATCGAACATAAGTTGTGCCTTGTTAGTCAGGGAGCTCGCGATGTTAGCGCGTATTATACTGATTTGGTGACGTTGTGGGAAACGTACACTACGTTTGTTGAAGTTCCACTCTGCACTTGTGGAAAGTGTGAGTGTGAAGCAGCTAAAAACTGGAAGCTGATGTTGGACAAAAGCCGTGTTATGAAGTTCTTAATGGGACTTAAAGAAGCCTATGATGCTACAAAACGTCAGGTCTTGATGATCAAACCTCTGCCGAATATCGAAGAAGTCTTCAACATGGTTTGTCAAGATGAAAGGCAGCGGATCCTCAGACCTGTCACTAACGTGGAGAATGTTGCTTTTCAAGCTTCTGGTTCTATGAATCCATATGAGGATGAGCAATTTGCGGCTTATGCCAACTACAAAGCTCGCCCTCGTCCTGTTTGCACTTATGTTGAATGACTGGTCATGTTGTTAACAAGTGTTACAAGCTACATGGTTATCCACCGGGTTATGAGAGACCTAAGTCGTCTCCAGCTCCTGCTTATGCTCCGAAGAGTGCTGCTCAGTACCAGCGTTCTTCTTCCTCTTTTAACAAGGAGAATACCGTTGCTAATGTGGTCACTGAAGCTGCACTTTCCCTCCCTGTCTCGGCACCTAACACTCTGGATCTCAGTCAATTCTCTTCCGATCAAGTT